GTAGTTGTACTAGTAGCGGGAATATTTATTTGTAAATTAATTATAAGTCATTTATAGAGAGCCTTTACGTTTTATTTTGGTCGGGGGAATTTCTACTTAAATCATAAATTTACTGGAAATAGTGCCAGTTGCCCAGTTCTATATCAGTAGTTGTACTGATTTTGGTCTTAGATCTATGTCCCGAGGGTTGAGACTTGTGAATTTCAAACTGTTATTTATTTTCGCTGTTCATGTATTACTGAATAAAATTATAAAACTTTACATCGAAGTTTTTGTTCTCAACACAAGGCAGGCGTTCCGAAGCGTTACAGAGAGAAGACCCAGAGACCACGAAAAATAAACTTTTCCCCAAAAAAATCCAAATGTGTGAATGTGGTGCTTCTTTGTCCTTTTTAAATTGTCTGTATATATGTAGCGGCGATAGCTCAGTAAGTTGGGGTACCTGTTCAGTGCACTTGAAGCAAAAAGTTTTTGGTTCGAGCCTGGCATGGGGCGTTATTTTTTTTCCATGCAAACAACCATTTATTTTGTCAGTTACGTTTTATGTACTGATGTATTAAAATTTTGAATTTGATAAATTTTGGTTCCGTTTGGTTCTCGAGCAAAATCAATTCTAATCTTCTATTCTATAGTATACATGTACACGTATCATGCATCTATGCATTATATATATTAGATGTTTATTTTTTTTTTGTGAAACATTACTATGTTATAATACCCCCTAGGAAAAACGTACATAAATGTTACAATTTCACAATGTCTTTCAAACTGAGTGAAAAAAAACCTATGTACGTGTTTGTAAAATCTGACCAGCTATGTTTAGCCAACCAAATCATGGACATTTAAACCATAAATGTTTCGTACAAATGATTCCTGCAGATCACTCACCAAATGCGCCCATCTTCTTTGCAACAAAAAATTCTGACATCAAAGTTGCAGCTCATATTGCTTTAATATGTAAACATTTGATATTTTTTTTAAATTTATTAATATGACTAATAATAGCATTGCTGTTCTTGAGAGGAGAGTTTTTAAAAGAAATATAATTGATGTTAAAATTTGACCTCCTGTTGTGTCCTATCCTACCCTTGGGTCATATATGATATGATATGAACATAAGTATTCGAATCTACAGCATGTAGTGAATACTAGTGATGTTCTCACACATTAAGGTTTATCTTTTCTGATTTAGTGGCTCTAGAGATGAAGATTTTTTAATGATGATAACATATAGTTTAATAAACAAGTTCTAAACTGTCTCCCTTGAAAGAGGGCATCATAGTTCCTTTGATTAAGCTTAAATCTCAACCAGAATGCTGTAGGAAATTAGGCTGGACTGAGGACATCGGCCTGGATAGCTCAGTGGTTAGAGCACCTGACTAGAAATACAGGGGTCCCGGGTTCGATTCCCGGTCCAGCCATATGTTTTCAATATATATGTATTTATGAATTTTCAAAGTATGTTTACTCATTCCTCCTTTCCATACTACAATGCTTTTTAGAATGTCTGCTTGAAATTGGTTCAGCGGTTCTTATTTACGAAAAAGTAAAATATGTGATAATTAAGTTTATAAACAACATATGCCAGACAATCTTCAGTCAGAAAAGCTGACTCTTGAGCCTTGGCCTCAGGTGAGCTAATCTCAGCGAGATGGGTAGAGACTATTGACGTCAGACCAAAATTTCAGTCTCTACCCATCTCGCTGAGATTACAGGTGAGCTAGAAAGCTATATACTTCTATAAAACCATTAGCATGATTAGTGATCAGTTTTATACATTACCCCCCTTGTAAAAGTTTTTTCCCTGTTAACATTTATTCATTTATTTCGCTATATACAAAATTACTTACCATCTTTCTTTGCAAATGATACTGAACTTATATGAAATGTTCTACTATGTGCAAAAGAAAAACTTTTACAAAAAGCAAACGATTTAGACAATCTGAGTGTCATTCTTGGATGTTTGGGTAATTGCGGTGTCATATGAGTTTTTGTCCCATGTAGTTTAGCCTGGTTTACAATTATTGTATTACATTTTGTGACGTATAAATTTCATACAAATTTTAAAGACATAGGGAAAATATTTAAACACAATATTTCGGTATAAAAAATATTAATTTTAGCTAAAGAAATTTAGGTTTAAACACATTGAAGTTGTAAATTCACATTTGATAACGACTAGAAAATTACACTTGACACCGTTAACCTCGTTCTAAATTCAAGATGTCAGCGCCCATTGTGAATGCATCCCTCCCACATGATTTAAAACCACTAGAAAACCATCGTTGGTGTGTGTCATGGTATAATACTCGAAGAAATTATAGATCGTTCTATTTTAAGTCCATATTTTATCTTGTTTCTTGAAAATTATATTGTTGAGAGATGTTTATAAAGAATCATTAGGTGACCAAGATGTAAAGTTGATCCAAAATTCCTCTGACTTAACACCCCTAGCACATACCATAATACGAAAGCGGGGGATAGAGCCAGGGGAATCTCTGGGTAGTGAAAAGTTGTCACTTCTGAGGTAAATCTCCCCTCCTGTTTGAAATTGTTTGTTCCAGTTTCAGGTTGTTTCAGTGTTTATTTAGTTGCTATCCCCAGGTGTTTCATCTTGAATTATTTTGGGCAAAATTATTTACAATGTAATTAATTTTGGAACAATGTAATAAACATGCTCTATTTGATATGTTAAGAAAAAGTTTGAATTTTTGCTGTGAAATTCTAGTGAAAGAAGCATTCTGTCTGATTAAATCCGAGTGCAATATAACATATGGCTGCTTAGTCTTACGGATAGCAATTTTACCCTGCTGATTGACATATTATTAAACAAAAAACCTTGATTTTGATTTGAATATCTTCTTTTATACTTAGGTAACAATGGAGCATAAGCAGCTGGTGAGGAAAAATACAGACATTACAACACAGAAATGTAAAGTTGACATACCTACTCTCAAAAAACTTGGGATTAAGCCAGGATCTTTTGCAGCCATTTCATTGGATAACACTGAATTCATCTGTCAAGTTTGGCCAATGCCTCACTTATCAGGAACTGGGATAGAAGTCGGCACTGCAGTGACAAGGCCAACTAAAGGGAAGACAGGGAAGTCCTGTACAATTAAAAGACTGGATGTTGTACCAGGGAAAAGTGTTGGTGTGAGCATTGTAGTGACAAAGGCACAAGATGTTAAATTTTACAGAAAAATGAAGACAGAATGTATCCACAAGTTAGAAGATATCTGTAGGGGGCTGTTATATAAGATCTGTGTATCTTCTAAGGCTGTTGTGGATAAGGAGACTTGTATGCTGGCAAAATTACATGGGATCTCCTTTATTGTGATAGACAGTGTATGTGATTGGGATTATTGTATTGTTGACAATACCACGACTATATCTGTGAATGATATACAGAGTAGAGAACATTACGTGCAAAAACAGACCATTGCTCAGACCACTCCTTTAGGAGGCTTAGATAAAGTTGAGGAGGAGTTGATGGAATTTCTCTCTGCATCATTCAGTGTAAAATCTAATACAAACAACATCTTGAGGCTCCCCAGGGGAGTTCTTCTTCGGGGCCCACCAGGAACAGGGAAGACTTCTCTTGTCAAACACATCTGTAACAAATGTAATGCTTTCCTAATCTCCATTAATGGACCGGAAGTGTTTGGGTCACGTCCTGGGGAAACAGAGGAGAATATAAAAAGTGTGTTTGAGAAAGCCTTCCTCATGAGTGAGGAGGGCCCTTGTGTTATTTTCCTGGATGAGATTGATTCCGTTTGTCCGAAGAGATGGGACTCTGACGATACCAATAATACCCGATCAACTAGTGTGTTTCTGAATTACCTAGACAGAATCAGTGACTGTACAAACTTGGCTGTGATTGGGGCCACAAACAGACCAGCGGCTCTTGACCCGAGTGTGCGGAGACCAGGAAGGCTGGATAAAGAGGTCAGAAGTTGATTAATCTTTGTATACATTTATGTATACGGGATGTTTATCATCATAAAAGTCAAAGGGAACAAATACTGTAGATCACTAATTTTTCGTGACACCTTATTTTCGCGAGAGAGTCATTGATTCTTTATAAGCGAGACATAATTTTCACGAATTGCTAATATTTCTCTAAATAATCTTAAAGAATACTATTATACGCGAGAATGAAATTTTCGCGTGCTCACTGCCTCGCGTAATTACGCAAAAATAAAGTTCTCGTGAATAAATAGTGATTTACAGTAAAGTGAAGCACTGGAATTTGAAATTTAGTTAAAAATTTATGATAAGACTGTATTGAATATTCTTCAATAACAATGTAAACTGAGGGGGTTTTGTTGAACATTTCCTGAAAAATTGGTATAAAATATACATGTACTTGTATAAAAATAAAAAAAAAAACTTCACTGTTTTTTAACCTTTAGTTGAAAGTTTCAATTTCCAATTTAAAAATTATTTTAAACTTTTCAGATTATGATAAATGTTCCTACACTTAGTCAGAGGAGAGAAATCTTGAGACAGCAGTGTTCTGGATTAAGAGCTGATCCAGGACTGGATCTGAATGAGATAGCCAAGATGACCAATGGATATGTAGGAGCTGACCTGATGTCTCTCTGCCATGAAGCAGCATTTGGAGCCATGAGCTCTCTTCATTCAGATTCCACAGATGATAAGGTAAACATGAAATTAAATTTAAAAGTAACATCAAAATCTGATTTGTGTCTTTTTTCATAGACTTATCAACTGAATTTCAGAAATCTTACTTTTAGGTAGTTGACACTCCATTGATAACAACAGAACACTTTAAAGAAGCTCTCAGGAAAGTGATGCCTTCCACCCAGAAGGGGTCTCCATGCACCACTGATTTTGACCCGGTACACTGGGAGGATATCGGAGGTCTGGAGGAAGTGAAACTGAAAATTCAGCAGGTTAGAATTTACTAAACATGCTAAAAATACATTCTGATTTGAAATCAAGATTTTTCTTTTTTATCATGATTCAACTCTGTAAATCTATGACCATTCCCAGGTCAAATAACAAGTAAAACTGGTCATTTCGTTCCCCTTACGTTTTCCTATTTTAAAAATATCATTTATTTGATATGCAGTACACTGTATTGAAATTAATTCACTTGGTTATGGTATGTAAATGTATCACAATTGTAATTACATTTATTTAGGACTTAAAATGTTTTAGGCAGTGGAGTGGCCCATAAAACACCCAGAGGCCTTTCGTCGTATGGGCCTACCAAGCCCACGTGGCGTTCTGTTGTATGGGCCCCCAGGATGTTGTAAGACCACACTGGTTAAGGCAGTGGCCACCTCATCTAATGCCACATTCCTGTCCATTAGTGGTGCCCAGCTGTTCTCTCCCTTTGTTGGGGACTCGGAGAAACTCATCTCAGAGGTATTTTGAACAAAGACGTTAGATATGTTGTGATAATGTGATTCTACAATTTATCATCTTTTGGAATCAGGAATGGTTGCTCTATTTAGCCTTTAATACAAGACAAGATTTTAGAACTAGATTAATTTTGATTCGTTATAAATACATTTCCATCATGAATCAAGGTGAATTATTATCTTATATCAAATAAAATAAATTTATGTAAATTCTTAACTGGAATTTCAGTGATGCTTAAAAGAGAGTATTTAAAGAATAACTTAGCTTTATAGTAACATATCAATTCTAAAAAGCTTTGAAAATTAAAGAGCATTCTCTCTCTTTAACAAAATTAGGTATTCCAAAGAGCCCGTGCAGGTGCCCCTTCTCTCATTTTCTTGGATGAGATAGACTCCATCATTGGCAAGCGGTCTGATGGGACATCACAACGTGGGGTCCAAGAGAGGGTACTGTCTACATTACTCAATGAGATGGATGGAATTGGAATCAGATTGGATGAGAAAACAGATTCTCAAACAGGAGAGGTATAAATCTGACATCTCTGTGGTGGCTATAAATATTTGAGTGGTGGATAAAAATATCCCAGTGATGAGCATACTTGTCCATGGGAATGCTTGTAGATATAAAAATCACAATGCTTTATGTGCTTTAATTCTTATGGAAATTTGATATTTTAATTAGCAATGGACTTAAGGCATTATATATTAATAAAACAAGCCTCAGATGAGAGATGACAAAAGATTGACCTCTAACTATTTTGCAACTTAATTTTTACAACTTGATCCTTCATACTGGCATACAATTTTCAGTCAACTGGGTAAGTGAGGAGAGTGATAAAAATATTTTGAGATTTCATTTTTCCATGAAATCTGAAAAAACTCATTAAAATTAGCAGTTTTTTGCCAGGTATTGAAAAAGATTTTATGAAAATTTCAGGATGGATCAGTCATAGACCTAGCCAATAAGAGTGTGCTGGTAGTAGCTGCTACAAATCGACAGGACATGTTGGATGAGGCTCTTACCAGACCTGGCAGATTTGACAGATCAGTGTTTGTACCCCCACCAGATGTACAGGTACTGATGCATGTTTTTTAGCTCACCTTAGCCAGAGGCTCAAGTGACCTTTCTGATCAAAAAGTGTCCAGTGACCATCTGTCGTCGGCTGTGAACTTTTCGTATTTTTGATTTTTTTCTCAAGAACCACTTGGCATGATTGGGTAAAGGTAATTTAATTTTTGTCACAGAAACTGTTACACCCTCTTTAAATGAGATCCTGTTGACATTAAATCTGTATTTATATAGGCACGTACAATTATTTTGTTGTTCAATCTGTATTTTGTTCTTTACAGGGTAGGCTAGAAATTCTTAAGATCTGCACAAAAAGTATGCCAATGAAAGATGCCGATTTGTCTGAGCTTGCCGCAAAGACTGAGAACTACACAGGAGCAGATCTAAAAAATCTCTGCCAGGAGGTATACTACAAGTACACGTTTAAACATTGAAAGAATTTGTATATTTATATAATAAAATATAGACTCATTTGATTGAAAGAAAAATTGGTAGAGTTGCAGAATGGTTTTGCAAAATCTCTGCCTAGAGGTACACTACAAGTACACGTTTAAACATTGAAAGAATTTGCATATTGATATTTAAAACATAGACCCATTTGATTGAAAAAAATATTGGTCAAGTTGCAAAATGGTTTTGCAATATATCACTGTCAGACAATAACATTATGTGACTTCTATTGACAGGCTGCCTTGCTAGCATTGACAGAGAACTTATCATCAGATATCATCACAGAGGAGCACCTGAAAACAGCCTTGTCTATAGTGAAGCCCTCAATTACTCCCTCACTACTTGCAAAATACAAACACTGCCCAAAGGAGAAAAAACTTTTTGTCTTGTGACAAAAGAACTTGAAATATTTTTTTCTTTCCTCAATAAAGTAATCTCTTTTTAAAGTACTCGTCTTTCAACTTGTATGAGTCATTGGTGCCCATTAGTTTAAAATTAGACCAAAAGTGTTCATCATCTTTATTTAAAAAGTAATTGATTCCAATTTCTTCAAATTGTAGTTCAAGGACTGCCAAAGGTGTATCATATGGGATTTATATTAAGAACAAAATGTGCATTTAGCTGTTTCATCAACCTACAAAGGATCTGTGTTTGTCTCCATTTGTACTGAGTTCTTCTAGGTAGCTATACCGTAAATCTGGAAATTTTTACGTCAATTTTATTTTGCGAATTCGGGTCAAAATGCTGTTGATTAATTTTTACGTTTCAAAATTTTGCGAATGACCACTGTTTTGTTTACATTTTCTTATTGGTAATTTATTTTTTAGAAAAATATTTTTGCGAATGCAATGAACTCGCAAATTTGCTAAAAATTTATCTACAGCAAAAATTTCCAGATTTACGGTATGCAGGGCCCCAGACCAACTACGGTTAATTACACTTCTCAATTAAAAGAAAATCTTATAATCTTCTTTAGAAGCTATCTTTATCAGAACTTTGTATTGAGAGTTGGTTCTAAACTTCTAATAACGTCTTACTATGGCTGGGATGCAGCCACAGGAAGGATTTCTAGTTTTGCATTGGAAATGGACAGTGACTGATCAGCAATATTGAAAAAAGATCAACTTGAAATCTAGAATGTTTGAATATAATTTTGGATAAGGAAATCTCCATTTGAATCTGTGGCTCTAGGCATGGGAACCAATTTTATTATAGGCTCACCGGAGCCGAAGGCTCAAGTGAGCTTATCTGATCAAAATTTTTCTGTTGTCTGTCGTTTGTAAACTTTTCACATTTTCATCTTCTTCTCAAAAATCACTGGGCCAATTTCAACCAAACTTGGCACAAAGTATCTTTGGGTGAAGGGGATTCAAGTTTATTCAAATGAAGGGCCAAGCCCTCTTCCAAGGGGAGATAATGCTGCATTAATGAAAAATTAATGGCATCTTTTAAAAATCTTCTTCTCCAGAACCACTAGGTCAGGAAAGATGAAACACATGTGGAAGCATCTTCAGGTAGCGTAGATTCAAGTTTGTTCAAATCATGACCCCCAGGGGTAGGGCAGGGCCACAATGGCTGATCAAAGGTTTACTTAGGAATATATGTAGATGGGAAAAATCTTAAAAAATCTTCCTCTCCAGAACCACTGGACTGGGAAAGACTAAGCTCATGTAGAAGCATCCTCAAGTAATGTAGATTCAAATTTGTTCAAATCTTGACCCCCTTGGGTAGGGCAGGGCCACACTGGCTGATCAAAGTTTTACATACTAGGAATATATAGAAAAATCTTCTTCTCCACAACCACTGGGCCAGGAAAGATGAAACTCATGTGGAAGCATCCTCGGGTAGTGTAGATTCAAGTTTCTTGAAATCATGATCCCATGGGGTAGGGTGGGGCCACAATGGCTGATCAAAGTTTACCATAGGAATATATAGGAAATTTTTTTAAAAATCTTCTTCTCCAGAACCATTGGACCAGGAAAGATGAAACTCATGTAGAAACATCCTCAGGTAGTGTAGAATCAAGCTTGTTCAAATAATGACCACTGGGTTAGGGCGGGGCCACAATAGCTGATCAAAGTTTTACACAGAAATATATAGGAAAAATCGTCTTCTCAAGATCAGCAAAGCTATGATTGGGGATATTAATATGGAAACATCCTCAGTTAGAGTTAATTCAAGTTTGTTCCTATCATGACCCCTGGGGGTAAGGTCGGGCCATAATGGGCAATCAAATCTCTACATAGAAATATATAGGAAAAATCTTTAAAACTTTTCTTCTCAAGTATGGCAAAATTATACATGTATGCTTTATTGATATAGTGAAATTCTCAAGTAATAAAAAATTCAAATCCCCCTCCCCCAACAAGTAAACTTTTCAATACTGAGCTGATTTGTGTTTTTTAACTAACCCATGCGCTCAGGTGAGCCATGTGGCCCATGGGCCTCTTGTTTAAAGTAGCGACTGTATACAGGGTAATTTTCGCCCATTGTATTTTTGCCCTTTCTCAATTGCAAACAATTTTGCCCCATTTTAAATTCACTCAGATACAGCTGTGCTAAAGAGTTAATAATGTCTTCTTCAAATTTGATCCATTTTAAAACTGACCCATATGATGCGAATGAGAGTTAAGAATAAAATGGAAGCAAAAATTTCCCAGTACCATATACAGTAATTGCATTGGTAAATCAGCCTTATCTATAAGATACAATTAAAAAAAAGATGCAAAATAAAGATTTCAAAAGTTTATTATCAGGTGATAATGATTATAACTTAATGAAATAACAACAAGCATCAATATTATATACAATATGACAAATTTATGGGCAAGGCAGAACAAAACAGTCAACAAGCATTGTAACATCAAACCAAGCACCAAAAGAAAACCCTCTAGATTCTTTTGTACCAAAATGCATCAACATCTTAATTATTGCCAATTTATTTTCAACATTTTATACTTTTACATGTTTTACAAAGAGCAAAATAAATTCAGTTGGATTGGCACTATTTCATTATTATTTGGCTATTTTACATTATTGAAAACCTGTTTTAATAGATTTTTTTACACAAAACCTTGATGTGTAAATGGTACATGTTTAACTTCTCTACAATCGATATCTTCTGGTTAAAGTTACATGTATCAGAAACAAGGTATAAACATTCCAAACACAAAACCTCTCTTGCCCACTGTAATCCAACTTTCTTTTATTCATACCTACAAATTTAACTATGGATACAAATGGCACAGACTTGAGAAAAAAGCTTTGAAATTGCTAGAAATGTGTTTCACATTTTCAATTGCAATAAAAGTTGGTAAACATTTTAAAATTCTTGAAAGCTAATTTCTACTTCTAAATGGAAAATCTGGATCTACAGATAAAGCATTTATTATTTACAAAAACTGTGATTGAAAATTTCAATATCAAAGAAATATTCTGGAGTATTGTATACATCAGGGTGCTGTTTCCAGCTCTACATAAAATGTCAAACTTGGACTACTACACACTACCAAGTTAATCTACATTAAGGATGAACTCGATCATGTGGATTAATTAAATTTACTTCATCCATGCTTAGTTAACCCATGATCAAACAGGAATCAAGAATTATGACTCATTACTGTAGATTCCTAGATATACACGTGGAATTAGTTATCACATAATTTCGTGAGGAGCACAGCACGCGAAATAAAATTACTCGCCTTTATTTTTATGGTGCTGAAATCTATGTAAAATCTTTTGATCGAAAGTCCATTCGCGAATTATTATTCTCGCTATTTGCCGTTGAAGAGCCCAATCGCGATAATAAGTACTCACGAAAAATAAGGAATCTACAGTATTTCACAATTTACACGTAGAATAGTTCTCATAATTAGCCAAAAATGGGAGGAAAAAAATTACAGCAAATAGAACTTCTTGGCACAATTATTATACAGCATCAATTTAATCAAGAAGTATAAGTTAAAATGTGCCTAAATGTGATGTACCTAAAAACTTATCTAATATTGAGGAACAGAAAATGTTTAATTAGCATTTAGCAGCAAACTAACTGATATGAAATACAATAATACCCTGTAAAACAAATCTCCTATTTTAATCCTTTAAGAATATGATAAACAATTTGGTTTATAGGGAGAGGGCGAAATAAGTTTTGAGAACTTGTGCCCAATCCCATTGTATATGTATATTACAATAAAATATGTTCAAAGCCAACAATTTGGTTAAAACCTGATCTATAGTTAATACATGTATTTCATAATTCTGAAAGAAATTTTAAGCTATGATTTGGCACAACACAAAAAAGATAAACAAGTTTAATACCTGGTATACAATCTACTATCCTACATGAATATATATCCAAGTAAAAGTCAATGTGATATTACATGCACATGTATAGAGATAGATCGATTCATCATCATCTAATACTAACATTATTTTTTAATAAAAGTCATCTTCAATATTATGGCTAGATCACAATAAAAATGTAAGACATTGCAACAATATCACTAACATTTCTTAATTTGTTGATTTCTTATTTTGTTTGCATCAAAATTTTAAGAAAAATCACCCATCCCTTAAACATAGAATTTATTTATCTATATTCCATAGATATTTCAGCCATAGCAAATACTGAAAATTTAGCCAAATTAAATTTTATCTCCTAATTATGCATTTATAATAATCCAAATGCAACTTAAAACAACAATGGCACATTAAAATATATCATTTTAACTTTGATTTGAGATTTTTTTCATGCTTCTTACATGATATATCCATGATTTGTATGAAAAAGCTAACTAGCTAAAATTTCTGGATTTTGTACACCTAATAGTATAAGGAATGTTTTTTTTTATAATAAAGTTAAAATTTCATTGACTGTTGAATTGACTGAAAAATCTTGAATGAAAAATAAAGCTTCGGTTTTCTATCAAAATGTCAAGCAACAAAAAAAAAAAAAAAAAAATCAAAAGAAATACAGAGAGTAAGTTCTGGGGATAAAAAGCTAAAAGCACATGAAAGTCTGGATAGAATGAAATGTCTATTCATAAACCAGAGTTTATAATGGTATTCATAAACATGCTTTGAAAATTCTTAACATCAACAGGGAAACAAATTGGCATAACAGAAAATTAAAATAAATAATAAACGGACATATTTGCAATAGAATACTTAAAAGAAATAATTGATAAACATGATCGATAAATTGTGATACTTAAAACAACCTTTGAATTAAAAAAAATGATACATCTGAATGCCTTATACTGTGAACTTTTTAAATCCTAAAGCGAATTTTCTAAAATTTTACTTATGTCTGAAATTTTTCTCTAATCAAAATGCCCACTGATCACTTTAAAAATTTTTGGCTTCAATAAATATCAATAAATCATTAAATGCCCACCTTATGTTCCTAAAACCTGTTGTTCAAGTGTTTACAAAACATTTTTCACATGTTAAAAAAATTCTCAATATAAAGCAAAAAAAGTGCACTGATTGAAAAGTTCCAACAAGCACACATTATATCACAGGACTAGACCCAGTATTGACTATCCTTCAACACAGGAGCCGAGGTTCGACAATACTGTAAAAGTTCCGGATCATCCATCACCGACCAATCAAACAAGTCCACACTCGATCGAGACACGATGGAATCCCTTAAATTGAGGTCACCCAAGGGTGTGACCTTGCACTCTGGTACTGTAGCACTAACCTCTGTTTGGTTCTGGGAAGTTGCTCCGACATTACTGTACTCGTGAGAATCGGAAATACTGTCCTCGGAGACATTCCTTCTTACTACGGGAACATTGTAGTAATTGTGGTGTTCATACACTAAAGAATGCTCATCATCGGATGCATTTTCGTTGGGTTCAATGTGAACATGTGGTTGATTTAGCGGAATAGGACCAGATATTTCTGGTCGTAACCGGTTTTTATGCATGTCTGAAGGGGGAGTATAATTATGATATCTTCGCTTTCTCCACAAAAGATACACTATAATCACTCCTAAAATTACGATCACGCACAGAGGAATGAGGATGGCTAGAATGAGAACAAAATCATTTCTAACACTAGGGCTCACTACTTCACGAGTTCCAACACCATCCACATTTGAACCATTGATTCCACTACTGTGTGGAAGGTTAAACACTAGTTGACCCAGAGCAGGCTGGACCCCTCTGGCCGTCAGCAAGTAGGTCATCCTATCTTCTGATTGTCCACGAACAGGTCGGCTGAAAATATAGAATATTTTTCTGTTTTCAATGTCTCTGTGGGTAAACTCCTCCACTGGCATGTAGCCTGACTGTACATCTCTCTTTCTACGAACAACACTTACTATGATGCCATATTTTGGTTGGTGTATAATTTTATAATGTGGAATACTTCCTGTTACATTAGCTAGTCCCCTTGCATCAAGACTTTGCAATGTTATAGCTGTTTGGTTCCCTTTGGATAGTGGTACTGGTTTTTGTTTGACAAATGGTTTGACAGATACTGAGATCAGTTTGTTTCTTATTATGAAATCGGATCCTTGGTAGGAAATGTCACAGAAAAATCTGTCATTTGGGAAGTTGAGATCATTCTGGACGTACATGACTTCGTGGTCATTATCAATATCCAGTTGTGTAAATGTGGTCACCGGATAGGTTTTGAGATAGATTTGTCCATGAGTTGGAGGCCTGGTAATGGTGTACACTATTTTCTCCCTCTCTCCATTGGTTCTAATATCTAGCTGACTTCTGGTAATGTACACAGACGTCGAAGCTTGAGGAATGTTAATTGTTGCATTGGTAATGATTTCCAAGGTCAAGGACACAACACTCACTGCTACAGTCACGGACTTCCTGGGGAATTTCCCATCAGTTATTTTTAGTTCCAGGAAAGATGGAAGGGGTGGTCCTTTCTGAGTGAAAATGATATCACCATCATCTACATCTTTCTGTGTGAAGGTTTTAATTAATCTCTGAGGGTCAGCTTGGAAGGATAAAATCCCATTGTTTGGTTGAGTTTGGACTTCATACCAGAGTCTTTCGGGTGGAGAGTCTTTATCTACCATCTTTAGAACCCTAGCATCGACAACCGTACTAGCTCCCTCTGTAACCTCTAGCACTGGATTGTCTGGTACAAAATAAAATGGTTCATCATTCACTGGGTTAATCTCAATGGGAAAGGTTTCTTCCAGAATCTGGATTTCTTCACTTGATCCATATTTCATGTCCAAATACACTAGAAAACTGAAACTATCATTCCTGCTCTCTGAATCATCATGGCGGTAGACAATTCTGTTCAAGTTGATGTTCTCCTGGGTAAAGTTGCTGAATTCTCTCAGAGCAATTCCTCCTCTCCAGGTCAAAGTGCCGTGTTTAGGAACTGTCACTAAGGAGTACATAGCAGACACATTCTTACCGGAAGCTTTCAACTGACTCACGTAAGTGGAAATATTCAGGTTTGAGTTGGACAGAATTTTTTGATCCCCTTCAGCCAATGTCAGTTTCTGTACCCGGATTTTGCCGCGGTTGCTCTGACTGCTGTAGGGTATCGCAATGTTAAACACCTGGTTCTTAACAGTCTCTGCATAAACTGTGTTCACTTCAAAAACAAATTTGTCTGTGTCCTCAATGATGGATAGCCTGATGCTTTCATGCTGGTAATAAATCTGCCCTTCATTAATGTCTTTCTGGGTGAAAGAGACGACCGGTACCACACGGTGGTTAATCCTAGTGATGAGCCGACCTTTTTCTGGTTTTACCGACACGTGGTAAGTAATGTCCTTGGTCTGGTTTGGATTGTTGGTTCGGCTCAGAAGGTGGTCCGTGGTGATCCTCTGTATCTGCTCTGGGTATACCTGGAGCGGTTTATTGTTGACGACCGAGAGGACCAGTTTCCGGGCGGTGACAAGGAACTGCATTCGGTTGGCATTGCTGTTTTGACCATCGCTAAGGTGGTACCAGAAGCTACCAGAATCACCACCTGCAACCAGACAAAGAAACACTGATATATTACACATACAATTTCATGAAGCTCATTCTGTTAAGTGAATCCTTGCTACTAGGAGTCTCTGATGCAAAGTATCTGTACTGATTTGTTTGTATGATAGTGGATGAGAAACATTTTTATAAAAAGTTTTATTGAAAT